TGACCCCACCTGACTCCTGCTGCTCTCTGCGCTCCAGGGACGTTAACGGCCCTGGCGGCTCCCAGCGGTCCCCCGAGAGTTGGGGCTGCTCCCACCCAGCCAGGGCCCGGGCTCCTCCTGACGCCTCTGCTTTCCCACTGCCAAGTGTCCGGACCCACCAGAGAGATCTGCTCCCACATCCTCCCTGTCTAGCATCTGCTCTGGTAATGGGCAGACGGCCTGGTTGGATGCGCCCTGGGGAGACATGAGCCAGTGCCCGTCAAAGAAACTACAAGCCTCTCTTAAGGGAGGCCATGAAGGGTGCGTCAACTGGCATGCTGTATTGCATTGTGGGTGCGATGCACATGTGCTTGGCACAATTGGGGAGAGGGAAGGGTGTAAAGGGCACCAATTCATAATGAGGCAGCCAGGAGGGGCTTGGGTCAGGTTACACTGGCTAGTACCTGTTGCCCCCAAATGAGTCCAAGGAGCCAGTAGGCAGCACCCAACAAAACTCTGCCCCGAGATAGGCATGGAGGAGTGACAGGAAGACGGCTCTGTGCTTGCTTGTGTTCCCCGGCTCAGAACCGCTGCCTCCCTGGTCGTATAGATGGGCAGCTTGGCCAGGGCCAGGAGGTCCTGGGGCTTGGTGGGGTGATGGATGGGGAGTGCATGAAAGAAGGGGTGTGGGGAGAAGTGCAGCGAGACTCTCGGGAGAGGGTCCTGAGGTAGAAAAGCAGCCTGTCAGACACGGGCCTATTTGTTGTTTCAGGGAACATGGGCCTAGGCCCACCAAAGCAAACTATAAGCTTCCCTTGCAAGGAGGCCACTACAGGTGCCCAGCAGATTCCTTGGGACAAATGAGAAACAAAACAGGGTTGGGAGTGAGGTCACAGGTTAATACTAAGTTTGCTGAGGGGAGACTCTGAGCAGAGCACACCAGACACTGCCCACTGGCCCTCGAGTGAGCCCAAGGAGCCAGTGGACACTGCCCAGGGAAGCTGTGCCTGGAGATGTGAGCAAACAAGGGACAGGAAACAACCCTGCAGTCCCCAGGGGTCCTCCTGCCTAGAGCCTTCTTCCTGGTCAGATGATGGCCCCCTTGGCTAGGGCCCGGAGGAGGTTGGCCAGGAGGTCCCAGGACCTAGTGGGGCTACAGATGGAGAGTGCATAAAAGCAAAGTTGTGGGGAGAAGTGCAGCCAGAACCTCGGGAGAAGGTTCATGAGGAGGTGGAAAAAGGGCATATCAAAAATGGGCTTTTGGGCTGGCCTTGTGTGGTATTTCTCATGTTCACTAATCAAGCTAGTCTTTGTACAATGCTGCTCTCTGTCTGCTGCTTCTGATAATGTGGCTCTTGTTTCACAGCCCTACAGGCTGTTTTTAAGGCTAAATAAAGCCATTGACTTTGGTGCAAAAATAACTTTCAGTGAAGCACTGGATGCATTGTCAAGATGCCCAAGAAGGCTGGATTTTCTTTTTCTGAGTCTGAAAAAGATGTGAATTTAATCATGATGACTACAGGACTAATGAAACCATAGCTCTTACTTTTGTGTGGCTGTGGCTTTTATAGATAATATAGCAAATTTAATGCATATTCCAGTATTTTGTTTCTTTTGCTTCAGTCTTGAACTGAATAACGTAGCCATGGGCCCCTCACATAATACTAATACTTCTACTTTCTTTTATCTGGAGCAAAAAGGTATCTTGTGTTTAAATGCAATGATGCGCCATACCATCTGCATCCCTTCTCCACCCCGCCCCTCCTTCAAAATCCTAGATCTGCCCATGATCAAGGTCATTGGTCCAATGGAAGCTGGGAACCACAGCTCTAAGCATGGCCTGCTGTCTCTTGACTTCAAAACAGGGGCATGAAAAGCAGTCAAGTGGCACAAGAGAGTATTCAACAAGGTCCAGGCACTTCCTGCCACTGACTGGTGCTCCATCTTTTTGGAATATCCGCCCCCAAACGGCGACGTCAGATCTGCTGAGTAGGCTGGCGGAAGCATCTAGTTCAGTATCTTGCTTCTCTGCCAGCATCCAGAGATGCACCTGCCTGTACAAATGCCTGCTCCTCTCTGATAGGAAGTGGTACTGCTTTCCTCTAGCTGGTAAGATGTATGGATGCCGTGTGCCATTCTGTCTTCTGCTTTATGGTGCTGCAAGCCATCTTTTTCTGTCACTAATTAGCGCAGTTTTCAATGCATCTGTGCAAACCTAGTGCTTCAGACAGACAGAAGGGAGATGAACCAGATACTGCATGCATTTTGAGTCTTTTCAGCCAAGTGATGGATAAAGCTAGTTTAATTCTAAACCATAAAGATTTATCCTATCCGCTTCTGGAAAACTGGGCTTCCAAAATCCCATTAGAACAAGTAGAGCTTTATTGCTGTTATCAGCTAACCTGGCAAATACCCCAAGAACAAATTTTTCCTTGCAGTATTTTATAGGGTCAAAATTGAGTCATTGGTTAGAAACTTCAGAGCACAGATGATGACTTTTTGAGTATTCTCTTCTTTCTAGTACACTTGTTCCAGCTGGACATCACAGTGAAACAGGGACGTGACAAGGTACGGGAGATGTTCATGAAGAATGCCCATGTTACAGACCCAAGGGTGATAGACCTGCTGGTTATTAAGGTAAAACAAATGACAAAGTGTTTTTGTGAAGCGGAGAAAGCAAGTAATTTGGTATGCAGTGAGTGGAAATGCAGATTCTTTGCTCAGAGTTCTACAGAACAAACTAAGATAATGGAAATAAATCCATTAGATTGGGAGTAACAGGCTTCCTTGAATACATATGTCAATCATGAAGACTAGACGTAAAAAGACCTTGTGCCTTTCCCT